AGTCGGCCAACCACAAGTTCTGGAAGCAGACGAAGTGGCATTGCAGGAGCCCCCGGGCGCCCAGGCCCGAATGCCGCACAGGGGAAGACCGAGCAGGCAGCCACCGGCGCAAACTTCGGCCTCCTCCTCCTCGGCGGCTTTCCCGGGACTACGTGAACAGCGAGCTCGAGGACAAGGACAACTTCCTGCTCAAGTCCCTGGACAACAAGTTCTGCAGCAACCCCAGTACCCGCAAGCATACCACCAGCATGGACTGATGCAGTCGGCAGTACCTGTTCATCCACAACATGTGCCTTCCGCGACGATGACACCAACAACAGAGGAGCGCTACGCTACGTACAGGATTGGCTACGCCCAGACCTATGACCCTGCGTCGGACCCCTGGCATGAAGACGGCATGTATGACAGACCCGCGGCGACGCATCCATATCCTCATGTACCACAACAAGCAGGCCTACAACAACAACCCGCGACCACGGTGTACCAGGGAGTTGCGGCTCCCTTGCCCTATGACCCCTGGGAGGACGACCTTGACCAGCCTTCGCAGCCCTCAGCAGCCTTTCCGACAGCATACCAAGCTCAAGGGCATCCAGGTGGACACTTTCAACATCAACCTGGGGCACAGGCAGCAGTGCCTCCTCAACATGTTCCACTACCACGCCAAGTCCTTCAACAGCCATCAAAGCCGGCCCAAGCCGGAGCGGGTCCACAACACTTCCCGGGAGCAGGCCAGTTTCAGCCCCCCGCCATGCACGTCTGGGGGGTCATTGCGCGACAGTACGCTTCCTCGGGACCGCTGCTCCCGCCAAGTCAATAGGTCACAACGTTCTTGGAGTGGGAGGAGTACGACACCAACAACCACCCGAGTCGCCTCCACTGAGCGAGGCAACCACCTGCGCAGCCGACACAAGCTGTATGCAGAGTCCGAGCATGCAGAGGACACAGCTTAACCCCCGGCAGGGGAGCAGCCCCTTACCGCCGCGAGCTTACCGACATGCCGGAGGACGACCTGGAGTGGGACAGTGACATGCCGGACAGTGATGACGAGGACGACAGCCAGACAGCACAAGCCGCCAAAGCCGCAGCTGGGGCGAAGATCCCCAAACGAGCTGCTCGGCATGGCTCCCAGCGTGTGGCCAACAAAGCCAAGAAATCCGATGTCAAGAAACGGTGGCGCGAGTTGGACTGGGGCAAAAAACCAAAGTGGTTGAGTTGGCGGGCGGCAGTTGCTTACATCCAGCGGGGGGAGAAGCCCCCGGCGAAGGAGCCACTTCCACCTACGCCCTCTCCGCAACGTGAGCATCTCTCAGCTTTGCTAGCAGCTCATCACTACAGCTACGACGCCCACGGGAGCATTATCCCGCACCACCCGCAGCCTAGCAACTCAGCCGGAGCCCGGGGCGAAAAGGCCTCGAACCAAGCACGGGCTGATCACGCCCAGAGGCGAGCTTCCAATCCATACCTACAGCCACCAAGGGCGCAAGCCTCTCATCAAGCCTCCTCTTCAACATCCGGGGCTTCGACAATGGTGGAACCGGCTCCACAAGGAGACGGCGTAACAATGCCAAACATGGCCGGCAACCAACAGCCAGACCCACAACGACCCCCACGACATCCTCAACATGCTGATCTACGACCTCAAGAACCACAACCACAGGGAACGGCCCGCCCTATTAGACGACAATACACTTGGAGGAAGCTAACTGACAGCACTTCACTTCAACTTCGAGGAGATGGCGTTGCAAATTATCCAGTACAGATCATCGACAACAGACCATTTCATGCACAAGCAGACCCGGGGGGTCACACCCCCAGCAACGCGAAGCACCAACCAGTTCCACAACTTCGTGGGCGACGTTCTCGTGGTTCAGCCGGCCCACCTCACGGATGATCCTCCCACAACAGCCGCCTCGTCATCGTCGTCTAGCTCTGTGCGCAGGGACCCCGTGATCCACCAGTGGAAGCAGGAAAACCCCTTCCCCGACATTGCAGATCTGGCACAGCAGGCAGACGAAGCCATTGATTCAGGCCGTGCCCCTGCCTGGCAAATTGAAGGGGAAGGCCCAAGCATGCGAAGCAGTGTTCGAGTCGACGACAACAGCCACCACCTGTCCTGGGTCCAGGGGGTCGCCCCGGCCACCCTACCGCCGCCGATGCCGCTCCACGGGGAGTGCCATCTCCATCCAGCGGGAGCCTGGATCGCTACGACCGCTTTGAATTGGGGTTCGCTCGCACGCCTAGATTTTGGCTCGTGGTGGTGGACTACGCCCCCCCTCCAACGCCTGGCCACATGCAGTTGCAGACTGGAGAGAGTTTCTGGCTAGAATGGCGAGGCCAAGAAGGTCACTGGCATCAGAGGCGTCCTAGATTCCTCAACGACGTCGCTACATTCGGGGGGTTCCCCGTAATCCCAGCAGCAGAGGCTCCCAGACCGCCTACGCCGCCACAACGGAGGGATCCTACAACTACCCAAAGAAGCAGCCAGACACGACCGGGTGGCTTCAACCCGCAACACTTTGTGGACACAAGGCCGTCAGGGGTAGGTTGATTCCACCAGCAGGCGCTACCTCACCGCAGCAGCAGCCCTCTTCGTCGTCTACTGGCAGCACTACGCATACTGTCCTCAGGGACCGCCGCCAAAGCCTGGGAAGCAAAACAGTCGGCCAGCCAACCCCGCCACGGTGAGCAAAGCCAAACCACCTCCACCACCAACGACCTCTTCTGGCTCAGAGACCGAAACCAGTTGGCCTAGACCACGAGGAGAAGGAGATGGCAGCACAATGCTCCAGACGTCCGGAACATCCAGCACCGTGAGTACTACAACAATGGCCATCTCCGACGTCACGTTCCTCATGCAAAGAGGGGGAACTGCCCCTGCCGATGGCCGGGGACCTGGCTCGAGCTCTACAGCTCCAGCAGAGCTCCCACTGCAACCGGGGGCCCCCCAGCCAGCTAACAACGACAGCCAATGGTTTTCGGTGGTCAACAACTTTGAGGGGGAGTTCACCGTCAGCGGCCTCCTTCGAACACTGCAGCAGATTCTGCATGAGGTCCTGCAGCAGTCGTTCACCCTCCCGACACGCTTATTCTGTCAGGGGCTTCATTTCACTAACAGCGGCTACATTTCTGAAGCCCAAAAGTAAATCGCACATCCAGATTCGGATGCTGGCATAGCGCTGCGCACAGGAGGGGGGGTGCATGCCCGACTCCATATGCCCTGCAAGCAAGCAAGTAAGCAAGCAAGCAAGCAAAACAGTGCGATGCTTGTGGGGTCAGGCACCTGGGTCGCAAGCTGCAGGCTGCTGGCAGCGGGGCCTTCAATGAAAACGAGGTAGCTCTTTGTTTCTATGCATGCCCAATGAAAGACGAAACAAATATAAAAAAACACGAAGAGTGATTGTAGCACAGCAGAACGAAGCAGACAGACAAGCAGAGTCACACAGAAAGCGCGATTGAATAAAAACGGACACATCGACCACGGGTTCATCCAGTCACACGTTCGGTTCATATTACATGCGGACTTGCTCACTCAGATGTGGTTTCTTGCGACTCGCGGCTGCGTTCATTGCCGCATTTTTTCGTCAGTTAGATTCGCATCGCTTGCTAGGCCTAAGCAAGTATGGCATGGCATCGTAGGAGATACATTTTCTGCCATGTGCCGGACTGCCATCAATTTGCTTGGCTGACAGCATCGGAGTCGAACTGCTTGACGCTTTTTGTCGACACCATTGATCGTTTGATCCTTTGGGCTTGCCAACTAACACAAGGGTTCTGAGAGCTAGGGCCTCGAAAGGCGCGTTCGGTGTTAAATTCTGCTGCTGCCGTCGATGAAGGATCGGAAACGGAAACCCAGCATTTTTGCGAGGTTCCACCCATGATCCGAAGGTGGGGCTTTCGAGGCAGTGGTGTGAAAGATAGTTTACAAAGTCGTATCATGCAGCAAATCTGGAAGAGGGATGCTTGGTGCGGTCGGTTTCGCTAATTGCACCGACACCATGTTGGTAGCCCATCATGAAGGCATCCCTTGCCCAGAGGTATACTCCAAAGCAGCTGTGGCCCTAATTCAGTCTGCGACACTTGGCTGTTTTCGCAGAAGAAGATAAATGATGAGCCAGCTAAATCCAACTCGAATTTTCAACAACAGCCCAGTTGATCTGGAATTTATTGTGAACTTCCTGACTTCATCGCTTGAAGTCCTTGCCTGGATCACGTGCCCAACAAGGCCAGACAGTTGGCCCTGGAGCCGCCGCAATTGCAACATTCATAGATTCATAGATACTGTTCTGCTGTGAGGGGCGGGGTTTGGTGATTTGGTTCCTGGTAGCTAATGACAACATTGTTTCGGTTACTGTCGATATAATGGGGCTTGGCTTTGAGATGCGCCTTTGCCACGTCTTAGGGAGGCAATGGGATGTTGCAAGATGGCTTCGGCCTGTTGTATTGTTTTGCCGAGCCTGCAGCAGACCTTATTGCCAATCGGTCCTGGACAAAGCAGTGGAATGCAGGAGCCTGGAAAACAAGTTGAGAGCCAGGAGCGAGGTGAAGCCTCATTCGGACAGTCGCACTATTGCCAAAGGGATCGTGGTATAGTCTGAACCAACGAGTCTACGATGCTACTGAGCTAAAAGATGCTACAAGTCTAAGTGCACCGAAAGCTTGGAAATCAGGCCTCTCAGTAATGAGCGATTCTCAGACGACCTACCTTCAGGAACACAGGGGTTCAACGGGTTGAGATTTCGTCGACATGCGTTTCAAAAGACAAAACAACGCAATCAGACAGAGTAAAGTGCTTCGCTGACGAAGCAGCATTCTTCAGTCCCCAACCTGGAAGTATGGGCAGAAGTATACCCTGCCAAGGATCGCCTCGGCAGCTCGCCCATTAAAACATTCAAACCCGGCCAGGACGACTGCAGGTGCAGCTGCAATCGACGGCAAGGCGTGTCAAGCCTTGAAGCGCAAGCAGACCTTGTGACCAGACTGCCGTGCGACCTGCCGGAGAGGCGTTGCTGGTCGTGGGAGGAGCACCTTCTTTCTCCACTGTCGAGGTGGAGAAATAGCGGCAGAGTAGAATCAGGGCAAGTGAAGTCTGGGCAGCTGCGCCTCCCACACGCAGCTGAAGTCGATTCTTCTAATGTCGAGCATCCTCAGACTCAAACACACGATTCCTTCTGAAATCTGTAGCCCAAGAGACCAATGATGGGAGAGTGGGAAAAGCAGCCGCTCAACTCGGCTCCACTGCTCACATCAGTGACTATCTCGAGCTTGCAAGACTTTTGCAACGTTGGTGTGCGCACAGCGCTGATGCAAACGAAGGTATACAGGGTCCCCACTGCAGATGCAGGCTCGGTACCTTGCTGCACACGGCCGATGTATCTGGGGACTCGCCAGATGAGCACGTCGAGCTATGCGGAGTATGGCAACGAGTAGTTTGGTATGATCGGCTCTAGTACAGCTCCAGTACTTTCCATGGACAGGATGGCAGTACGACTTGTGAAGGATAGCGAGCTTCTAAGTGCACAAGTGTTTTTGACTTGGTGACTTCATAGGAATGCTGAAGGGAATCCTTCGCGCTCGTGTCGAGTGTGCGGACCTTTGCTGCGAGGCTTTTCAGCTAGAGAGGAAGAGAAAGTCGCTGCGATCTCAGTCCCCTGCCAGAACCCATCAAAATCAAAGCCGCAGCCGGGCCTGGCAACTTCCGATCCTTTTACCCCCCTCCGCTTATGCATTTGACGTGCGTTCGAGGAGTATCTCAAGGAGCATCCGAGCATCTGTTTTGCGTTGAGGCCGACTTGTCCGATGGTCGCATGGGATGCCAGGCCTCGGAGTTTCAACGGCGCGGATTATCATTGCGTCCAGCATTGTCACACCGCTCATCCCGGGATGTTTTTGGTGTCTCCCGGGCTTTTTGCATCAAGTCCTGTCAAGCTTCATTTTGCCTTGTCCATGGCGACGCGAGGATGCAGAATGTCACCGCAAACTTTGCACAATGGTGGACAATTCGATTCGCTGCCTGCTGTGTAGACAGTGGCTTGAGTTCGAAGCGGAAGAGACTAGACTAGACCGAAATTAAGACAAGTATTGCTAGCATCTGAAGGCTGCCGTGCTGGCGCTCCCGTCTCCTGAGAAGACTTATCCCGTTGCCGGTTGCTCAGACCCGGTCGGTCGTGTGGCCTTGGCACCGAAACATCGCACTCGTTGTTGTGTGCTCTGCTCTAGCCTGATTCTGATGTTTCAGGCTTACATATGAAATTGAAACCAGCAGAAAGACAGCGATGTCGAGATCTAAGCAAAGGTCGAGCGGCGATGTGTCGTCGTCATTGGTGGCGAGAGGTGTGATGAAGATGTGGCGGAGTTTGCAAGGATCAGGTGCGGATTGCCAGCTCGGACTTGTGTTCTGCTTCCTTGCTTTCGAAGTGAGGGATTGTGGAGCCTCGATGAGGTCCTTTTCTAATAGTGCGAGTTTGGAGAGCAAGGTTGTGCCAGAAAAGACATTGGACATCAACCCGAAGCTCGAGAAGCGTTCCCAGTAACAGCGGGAAGGGTTGTAGTAACAGCGCGTAAGGGGAGGAGTAACAGCGGGTAAGGGGGGGTCTTGGGAGTAGATAATTGTTCTAGTAGTAGATGATTCTTGTAATTCTTCTAATTCTGAGGTGTCAAACCTTTGCGCACGATGAAGGTGACTCAAACCTTTGCACACGATGAAGGTGACTGCTGGGTTTTTTGCACCAGCAACCGACCAATCAATTGAGAGAAGTTTGAGTAAGAGCATGTGCCGAAAGAAGTTCAAGTCAGGGGAAGCTCTGATGGAGGCTTGTAGCGGCACTGACATGCAAATCCCTCGTTATACGTGGGTATAGGGGCGAAGACTACGTAGTCCAACCAGCTCCCTCCGCAGTTTCTTTCAGGATAGGTAGAGTTGAACAGTTGAATCAGGCAAAGCAAACATCCAAAGCACCATCACTGATGCTCCATTCAACCACCGACAGGGCCGGAATCCCGTTTTGATATTTTCGGTAGTCGAAAACACGATTCCCGATGCTCCATGCCGACAGAAGAAGCGGGAATCGTAGTTTTGAGGTTTTCGGCAGCAACAAACACCAAAAACACGATTCCCGCTCAACCCGTCCCACGACAGGAGAGGAGGGAATCGCTTCACTCTGCTTCATCTGAATCTGTTTCGCTGTGCATGCAGGCAGCTGGCCGGTGTTCCTGTCTTCGACACCGAGATGGGTAGCCTGACTTGAGCCGGCAGTTTAACAGCGCATGGGCACAGTCAGCAGTCCCAGCGTGGGTGTGCAGAGAAGCGGTGCTTGCAGAATCCGTAGTGGCTTGTCGTGTCTTGCAGGACATTGGCGCAAGGATGACGTCGTCCCACCGCTTGCTGACTGGCTCGCTTTCGCTTGAAACCATTGAACCCAGAACAGAATGAAATCCCGATTTAATGGTTGGATCTTGGAAGGTTTTGACATGCCTCGAACCTGCCTTTATCTGCTTGCCGCTTGCCCCTGCATGCGTAAGCAAGAGGGTTAACTCCTGATGTAATTGTTTGTCTGGTCGTGTGGCAGCATGTTCTCTCCTCCGGCCTGGAACTCGACTAGTTTGCATACCACCAAACTCTCGTTCGAATCTGGTGCGAATCCCTGCCTGGCTTCTCAATTAGACTCACGATTTCATTAGGCGGTTTGGCATCCCTATTGATCCTATAGGAAAGGAGCAGTAATCGATGCGGAACCCCATCAAGTTCGACTTAAATGTCCCTTAAGTCGATCGATCGTCACAACGTAGTTCCAGAGTTAGCATCCTTGTGATCTCATCTGATGCTTACTCTAGCTCCGGTTGATAAGTTATCCTCATTACAGGCTCGGAGCTTGCTATCAAGATGCCCGCTGGAATCATTATTTAACTGTTTTGTGTGACGACCTCGGGTTCAGAGTGAGTTCTCGGTAAGTATGTAGATCATGACTTGAAAAGATGAGGAGCGATCTCGGCTAGACGGGTTTCACGGCTCAACTCCGTCAACATGTCGGAAGTGGCGGCGACGGGCAGGACTTATGCTGCCAGGCCCACGACAAGTCCGCAGGAAAGGGATGGGCTCTGCGACTCACGTGCAAAAACGTCTCAATTCGCTTGGAGACTGCGGAGGAAGTTCGCGGTTGGTTTCTGTTGCGGGAGCTTCAGTTGCAGCCAGCTGCTGAGGCGATGATCCTGACGATAATGCGAGGGTCGCGGACGTACATGGACGTGGACGCAATTATCAAGTCGGTGTTCCTGCAGGGTGCGGCAAGGACGTCAACAGGAAGCCGGTTCATGAAGGTGTTGAAGGCATTGCCACGGAAAGAGCGAAGAACTGAATTTTATCCCGATTTCGATGTATTTCAGGCTTTGACTTTGAAAGCCTAGGACAAAACCTCTTAGTGCGTAATGCCTCACCTAACCACAGCAGTATGGTCGCCACTTTTGGAATGCTTTCCCCCACACTTCAACTGTAATGTTGTCGGACACAAGTCTTCGTGGAAACTGTTTTCGGGTTTTGGGGAGTTGGCTTTGTGTTTGCAGAGTGTATTGTGTATTCCTTTTGTTGCTGCGGGTGTGTTGGTGGTGTTGTGCTTTTGTTGTTGTCAGCATAGCATTGTCTTCCGTTGTGCCGGCGCAACGGTGCTTGTGCTGCTGATGTTGGTGCTAGTGCTACTACTGTTGTTGCTGGTGCTGCTACTGTTGTTGCCGCTATTGCTACTGCTACTGCGACCGCTCCCGCTCCTGCTCCTGCTTCTGCTTTTGCTCCTGCTCCTGCCGGTGCTGTTGCTGTTGCTGTTGCTGTTGCTGTTGCCGTTGCTGTTGCTGTTGCTGCTGCTGTTGCTGTTGCTGTTGCTGCTGCTGTTGCTGTTGTTGCTGCTGCTGAGGCTGCTGAGGCTGCTGAGGCTGCTGCTGCTGCTGCTGCTGCTGCTGCTTGTTGCTGTCGCTGTCGCTGTCGCTGTCGCTGTTGCAGTTGCAGTTGCAGTTGCGGTTGCTGTTGCTGTTGCTGTTGGTGTTGTTGTTGTTGTTGTGGTCGTCGTCGTCGTCGTCGTTGTGGTTGTTGTTGTTGTTGTCGTTGTCGTTGTCGTTGTTGTCGTTGTCGTTGTCGTTGTTGTTGTTGTTGCTGCTGCTGCTGCTGCTGGTGTTGTTGTGGTGGTGGTGGTGGTGGTGGCGGCGGTGGTTGTTGTTGTTGTGGTTGTTGTGGTGGTTGTTGTTGTTGTTGTGGTTGTGTGTTGTGTGTTGTGTGTTGTTGTTGTTGTGGTCCCCGCTGAACTTGGTGAAGACGGAGCAGAACACAACCTGGGCGGAAGCAATGACTGCCCGCCCTGTCATGGGCACTGATGGACTACTCACCATTGCTCTGGGAGAGGGTGCCACTTATCGTGTCCTGCCGAAGATCACCGGTTTCTTCGGCATCATCAGCGCCTTGTTCAAGAAACTCTGGGACCAAGCCGAGATACACGAAACTCTTGAAACCGATGACAATTTTGAAATTGTGGCCTCCACCATCAAGGCTATCTATGACCAAACATGCAGGTCGTGCGGGCTCATCAACAGGCTCATTATCTACATGCCGAAGGAAGGGGAAAAAGTCCGCAAGATGCGCATCGATCACAGAGTGGGCGATACGCCTGCCAAGCAAAAGCTGCTGCGCCCCGACAAACGACATTCTGAGGACCATGGCCCTGTCTCAGACAAGAGACAGAAGGATGAGACTGCCGATTCTCGCCAGCAGTGGGACGACACCTCGTGGTGGCAATCTACGGATTGGTCTTCCTCGTCAAGTTCCTGGCGCTGGACAAGGTAATCTCGGGGCCTCGGGCCAAGAACGCGGGGCCTCGGGCCGCCTATCTGTGGCCTTCGGTGGCTCGGCCAACCTTTTTAGCCACAGCGTGCTACCTTTCTTCCTCACCAGAGGACGTCAGCACCTTTGCGCTGCAAAGCCAAAAAGCATTCTGCCTGTGCTCGTCAGCGGTCGTCCAGCTGCTAGCACCCTTCACACAGCCCTCGAAGATACTTTCTGACTTTCACTAGCTCGCACGTTGTATAGCAGTGAGCGGCCACACT